GGACTTACACACTACATCTGGGGGGTACAAAGTCTGGTTCTGGGTGAGACTTACACACTACATCTGGGGGGTACAAAGTCTGCTTCAAGGTGAGACTTACACACTACATCTGAGGATACAAAGTCTGGTTCTAGGTGAGACTTACACACTACATCTGGGGGTACAAAGTCTGGTTCAAGGTGAGACTTACACACTCCATCTGGGGGTACAAAGTCTGGTTCCAGGTGGGACTTACACACTACATCTGGGGGTACAAAGTCTGGTTCTAGGTGAGACTTACACACTACATCTGTGGGTGTAAAGTCTGGTTCTAGGTGAGACTTACACACTACGTCTGGGGTACAAAGTCTGGTTCTAGGTGAGACTTACACACTACATCTGGGGGTACAAAGTCTGGTTCTAGGTGGGACTTACACACTCCATCTGGGGGGTATAAAGTCTGGTTCTAGGTGAGACTTACACACTCCATCTGGGGGTACAAAGTCTGGTTCTAGGTGAGACTTACACACTCCATCTGGGGGTACAAAGTCTGGTTCTAGGTGAGACTTACACACTACATCTGGGGTACAAAGTCTGGTTCTAGGTGAGACTTACACACTACATCTGGGGGTACAAAGTCTGGTTCTAGGTGAGACTTACACACTACATCTGGGGTACAAAGTCTTGTTCCAGTTGAGACTTACACACTACATCTGGTGGTACAAAGTCTGGTTCTAGGTGAGACTTACACACTCCATCTGGGGGTATAAAGTCTGGTTCTAGGTGAGACTTACACACTCCATCTGGGGGTATAAAGTCTGGTTCTAGGTGAGACTTACACACTACATCTGGGGGTACAAAGTCTGGTTCAAGGTGAGACTTACACACTACATCTGGGGGTATAAAGTCTGGTTCTAGGTGAGACTTACACACTACATCTGGGGGTAGAAAGTCTGGTTCTAGGTGAGACTTACACACTACATCTGGGGGTACAAAGTCTGGTTCTAGGTGAGACTTACACACTACATCTGGGGGGTAGAAAGTCTGGTTCTAGGTGATTCTTACACACTACATCTGGGGGGTACAAAGTCTGGTTCTAGGTGAGACTTACACACTACATCTGGGGGGTAGAAAGTCTGGTTCTAGGTGAGACTTACACACTACATCTGGGGGTACAAAGTCTATTTCTAGGTGAGACTTACACACTACATCTGGGGGTACAAAGTCTGGTTCTAGGTGAGACTTACACACTACATCTGGGGGGTAGAAAGTCTGGTTCTAGGTGAGACTTACACACTCCATCTGGGGGCAGAAAGTCTGGTTCTAGGTGAGACTTACACACTACATCTGGGGGTACAAAGTCTGGTTCTAGGTGAGACTTACACACTACATCTGGGGGTAGAAAGTCTGGTTCTAGGTGAGACTTACACACTCCATCTGGGGGTACAAAGTCTGGTTCTAGGTGAGACTTACACGCTACATCTGGGGGTAGAAAGTCTGGTTCTAGGTGAGACTTACACACTACATCTGGGGGTATAAAGTCTGGTTCTAGGTGAGACTTACACACTACATCTGGGGGTACAAAGTCTGGTTCTAGGTGAGACTTACACACTCCATCTGGGGGTAGAGAGTCTGGTTCTAGGTGAGACTTACACACTACATCTGGGGGGTATAAAGTCTGGTTCCAGTTGAGACTTACACACTACATCTGGGGGTAGAAAGTCTGGTTCTAGGTGAGACTTACACACTACATCTGGGGGTACAAAGTCTGGTTCTAGGTGAGACTTACACACTACATCTGTGGGTGTAAAGTCTGGTTCTAGGTGAGACTTACACACTACGTCTGGGGTACAAAGTCTGGTTCTAGGTGAGACTTACACACTACATCTGGGGGTACAAAGTCTGGTTCTAGGTGGGACTTACACACTCCATCTGGGGGGTATAAAGTCTGGTTCTAGGTGAGACTTACACACTCCATCTGGGGGTACAAAGTCTGGTTCTAGGTGAGACTTACACACTCCATCTGGGGGTACAAAGTCTGGTTCTAGGTGAGACTTACACACTACATCTGGGGTACAAAGTCTGGTTCTAGGTGAGACTTACACACTACATCTGGGGGTACAAAGTCTGGTTCTAGGTGAGACTTACACACTACATCTGGGGTACAAAGTCTTGTTCCAGTTGAGACTTACACACTACATCTGGTGGTACAAAGTCTGGTTCTAGGTGAGACTTACACACTCCATCTGGGGGTATAAAGTCTGGTTCTAGGTGAGACTTACACACTCCATCTGGGGGTATAAAGTCTGGTTCTAGGTGAGACTTACACACTACATCTGGGGGTACAAAGTCTGGTTCAAGGTGAGACTTACACACTACATCTGGGGGTATAAAGTCTGGTTCTAGGTGAGACTTACACACTACGTCTGGGGGGTACAAAGTCTGGTTCTAGGTGAGACTTACACACTACATCTGGGGGTAGAAAGTCTGGTTCTAGGTGAGACTTACACACTACATCTGGGGGTACAAAGTCTGGTTCTAGGTGAGACTTACACACTACATCTGGGGGGTAGAAAGTCTGGTTCTAGGTGATTCTTACACACTACATCTGGGGGGTACAAAGTCTGGTTCTAGGTGAGACTTACACACTACATCTGGGGGGTAGAAAGTCTGGTTCTAGGTGAGACTTACACACTACATCTGGGGGTACAAAGTCTATTTCTAGGTGAGACTTACACACTACATCTGGGGGTACAAAGTCTGGTTCTAGGTGAGACTTACACACTACATCTGGGGGGTAGAAAGTCTGGTTCTAGGTGAGACTTACACACTCCATCTGGGGGCAGAAAGTCTGGTTCTAGGTGAGACTTACACACTACATCTGGGGGTACAAAGTCTGGTTCTAGGTGAGACTTACACACTACATCTGGGGGTAGAAAGTCTGGTTCTAGGTGAGACTTACACACTCCATCTGGGGGTACAAAGTCTGGTTCTAGGTGAGACTTACACGCTACATCTGGGGGTAGAAAGTCTGGTTCTAGGTGAGACTTACACACTACATCTGGGGGTATAAAGTCTGGTTCTAGGTGAGACTTACACACTACATCTGGGGGTACAAAGTCTGGTTCTAGGTGAGACTTACACACTCCATCTGGGGGTAGAGAGTCTGGTTCTAGGTGAGACTTACACACTACATCTGGGGGGTATAAAGTCTGGTTCCAGTTGAGACTTACACACTACATCTGGGGGTAGAAAGTCTGGTTCTAGGTGAGACTTACACACTACATCTGGGGGTAGAAAGTCTAGTTCTAGGTGAGACTTACACACTCCATCTTGGGGTACAAAGTCTGGTTCTAGGTGAGACTTACACACTACATCTGGGGGTACAAAGTCTGGTTCTAGGTGAGACTTACACACTCCATCTGGGGGTACAAAGTCTGGCTCTAGGTGAGACTTACACACTACATCTGGGGGTATAAAGTCTGGTTCTAGGTGAGACTTACACACTACATCTGGGGGTACAAAGTCTGGTTCTAGGTGAGACTTACACACTCCATCTGGGGGTAGAGAGTCTGGTTCTAGGTGAGACTTACACACTACATCTGGGGGGTATAAAGTCTGGTTCCAGTTGAGACTTACACACTACATCTGGGGGTAGAAAGTCTGGTTCTAGGTGAGACTTACACACTACATCTGGGGGTAGAAAGTCTAGTTCTAGGTGAGACTTACACACTCCATCTTGGGGTACAAAGTCTGGTTCTAGGTGAGACTTACACACTCCATCTGGGGGTACAAAGTCTGGTTCTAGGTGAGACTTACACACTCTATCTGGGGGTACAAAGTCTGGCTCTAGGTGAGACTTACACACTACATCTGGGGGTACAAAGTCTGGTTCTAGGTGAGACTTACACACTACATCTGGGGGTACAAAGTCTGGTTCTAGGTGAGACTTACACACTCTATCTGGGGGTACAAAGTCTGGCTCTAGGTGAGACTTACACACTACATCTGGGGGTATAAAGTCTGGTTCTAGGTGAGACTTACACACTCCATCTGGGTGTATAAAGTCTGGTTCTAGGTGAGACTTACACACTACACCTTGGGGTATAAAGTCTGGTTCTAGGTGGGACTTACACACTACATCTGGGGGGTACAAAGTCTGGTTCTAGGTGAGACTTACACACTACATCTGGGGGTACAAAGTCTGGTTCAGGTGAGACTTACACACTACATCTGGGGGGTAGAAAGTCTGGTTCTAGGTGAGACTTACACACTACATCTGGGGGTACAAAGTCTGGTTCTAGGTGAGACTTACACACTACATCTGGGGGTACAAAGTCTGGTTCTAGGTGAGACTTACACACTACATCTGGGGGGTACAAAGTCTGGTTCTAGGTGAGACTTACCCATGAACGCTGAGGTCACCGGGGGGCTCGGGGTGGGATGTAGAATCCCTGGTGAAACCTCACCCTGAACCCTCTCTGCGTCTCTCCATCTCTGTCTCACTGTCTCTGTCTGTCTCTCTGTCTCTCTGTCTCCATCTCCGTCTCTCTGTCTCACTGTCTCTCCATCTCTCCATCTCTGTCTCACTGTCTCTGTCTGTCTCTCTGTCTCTGTCTAACTGTCTCTCTCACTGTCTCTGTCTGTGTCTCTCTCCATCTCTCTATTTCTCTGTCTCCATCTCTGTCGCTCTGTCTCACTGTCTCTCTGTCTGTCTCTCTGTCTCACTGTCTGTCTCTGTCTCACTGTCTCTCTGTCTCTGTCTCACTGTCTCTCTCCATCTCTGTCTCTCTCCATCTCTCTCTGTCTATCTGTCTGTCTCACTGTCTCTCTCTGTCTCTGTCTCTGTGTCTCCGTGTCTCACTGTGTCTCTGTGTCTCTCTACAGCTCCACCGCAGCTTCATGACCACCGTGGTTCTCTGTCTCTCTGTCTGTCTCTCTGTCTCTGTGTCTCTCTGTCTGTGTCTCTGTGTCTGTGTCTCACTGTCTCTGTCTCACTGTGTCTCTGTGTCTCTCTACAGCTCCACCGCAGCTTCATGACCACGGTGGTTCTCTGCTCGCTCGTTGCCTTCACGCTCCCCTTCGTCTACCGCGCCGGCTGGAGTCACGTGAGGAGCCCCCACCCCCTCACCCCCCTCTGCACTTGGCCCTACACAGGATGGGGGAACTTTATCTTTTCCTTTGCGTGTGTCTCTGTGTCTGTGTGTGTGTCTCTGTGTCTGTGTGTATCTCTGTGTGTCTCTGTGTGTCTGTGGGTGTCTGTGTGTCTGTGTGTCTGTGTGTGTCTCTGTGTCTGTGTGTGTCTCTGTGTGTGTGTGTGTCTCTGTGTGTCTGTGTGTCTGTGTGTCTCTGTGTCTGTGCCTCTCTGTGTGTCTGTGTGTCTGTGTGTCTCTGTGTCTCTGTGTGTCTCTGTGTCTCTGTGTGTCTGTGCCTCTCTGTGTCTGTGGATGTCTCTGAGTGTCTCTGTGTGTATCTCTGTGTCTGTGTGTGTGTGTCTCTGTGTCTGTGTGACTGTGTGTATCTCTGTGTGTGTCTGTGTGTATCTCTGTGTCTGTGCGTGTCTGTGTGTCTGTGTGTCTCTGTGTGTGTCTGTGTGTGTCTGTGTGTATCTCTGTGTGTCTCTGTGTCTGTGCGTGTCTGTGTGTCTGTGCGTGTCTCTGTGTGTCTCTGTGCGTGTCTCTGTGTCTGTGCGTGTCTCTGTGTGTCTGTGTGTCTCTGTGTATCTCTGTGTCTGTGTGTGTCTCTGTGTCTGTGTGTATCTCTGTGTGTCTCTGTGTGTATCTCTATGTATATATCTGTGTGTCTCTGTGTGTCTCTTTGTGTCTCTGTGTGTATCTCTGTGTCTGTGTGTATCTCTGTGTATCCCTTTGTATATCTGTGTCTGTGTGTCTTTGTCTGTTTGTGTATCTCTGTGTGTCTCTGTGTGTCTGTGTGTGTCTGTGTGTGTATGTGTGTATCTCTGTGTATCTCTGTGTCTGTGTGTATCTCTGTGTGTCTCTGTGTGTCTGTGTGTTTGTGTATCTCTGTGTGTATCTATGTGTCTCTGTGTGTGTATATCTCTGTGTCTCTGTGTGTATATCTCTGTGTGTGTCTGTGTGTCTCTGTGTGTGTGTCTCTGTGTCTCTGTGTGTATCTCTGTGTATCTCTGTGTCTCTGTGTGTGTGTATCTCTGTGTGTATCTCTGTGTTTGTGTGTCTCTGTGTGTGTGTCTCTGTGTGTGTCTCTCTGTGTGTCTCTCTGTGTGTGTCTCTGTGTGTGTGTGTGTCTCTGTGTGTGTCTCTCTGTGTGTGTGTCTCTCTGTGTGTGTGTCTCTGTGTGTCTCTCTGCGAGTGTCTCTGTGTGTGTCTCTGTGTGTGTCTGTGTGTCTCTGTGTGTGTCTCTCTGTGTGTGTGTGTCTCTGTGTGTGTCTCTGTGTGTGTCTCTCTGTGTGTGTCTCTGTGTGTGTCTGTGTATGTCTCTGTGTGTCTCTGTGTGTGTCTCTGTGTGTGTCTGTGTGTGTGTCTCTGTGTGTGTGTCTCTCTGTGTGTGTCTCTCTGTGTGTGTCTCTGTGTGTGTCTCTGTGTGTGTGTGTCTCTCTGTGTCTCTGTGTGTGTCTGTGTGTGTCTCTGTGTGTGTCTGTGTGTGTCTCTGTGTGTGTCTCTGTGCGTGTCTCTGCGTGTGTCTGTGTGTGTCTCTGTGTGTGTCTCTGTGTGTGTGTCTCTGTGTGTGTCTCTGCGTGTGTCTGTGTGTGTCTGTGTGTCTCTCTGCGTGTGTCTCTGCGTATCTCTGCGTGTCTCTGCGTGTGTGTCTGTGTGTGTCTCTCTGTGTGTGTCTTTCTGCGTGTGTCTCTCTCTGCGTGTGTATGTGTGTATCTCTGTGTATCTCTGTGTCTGTGTGTATCTCTGTGTGTCTCTGTGTGTCTGTGTGTGTCTGTGTGTGTCTCTGTGTGTGTGTGTCTCTCTGCGTGTGTCTCTGTGTGTCTCTCTGTGTGTCTCTCTGTGTGTCTCTGTGTGTCTCTGTGTGTGTCTGTGTGTGTCTCTGTGTGTGTCTCTGTGTGTGTCTCTGCGTGTGTCTCTGCGTGTGTCTCTGAGTGTGTGTCTCTATGTGTGTGTCTCTCTGCGTGTGTCTCTGTGTGTGTGTCTCTGTATATGTCTCTGTGTGTGTCTGTGTGTGTGTCTCTCTGTGTGTGTCTCTCTGTGTGTGTCTCTCTATCTGTGTCTCTGTGTGTGTCTCTGTGTGCCTCTCTGCGTGTGTCTCTGCATGTGTCTCTCTCTGCGTGTGTCTCTGTGTGTGTCTCTCTGTGTGTGTCTCTCTGTGTGTGTCTCTCTGTGTGTGTGTCTCTCTGTGTGTGTGTGTCTCTGTGTGTGTCTCTGTGTGTGTGTGTCTCTCTGTGTGTCTCTGTGTGTGTCTATGTGTGTCTCTGTGTGTGTCTGTGTGTGTCTCTGTGTGTCTCTCTGTGTGTGTCTCTCTGTGTGTGTCTCTCTATCTGTGTCTCTGCGTGTGTCTCTGTGTGTGTCTCTCTGTGTGTGTCTCTCTGTGTGTGTCTGTGTGTGTCTCTGTGTGTCTCTGTGTGTGTGTCTCTGCGTGTGTCTCTGTGTGTGTCTCTCTGTGTGTCTCTGTGTGTGTCTGTGTGTCTCTCTGTGTCTCTGCGTGTGTCTCTGCGTGTGTCTCTGTGTGTGTCTCTCTGTGTGTGTCTCTCTGTGTGTCTGTGTGTGTCTCTGTGTGTCTCTGTGTGTGTGTCTCTGCGTGTGTCTCTGTGTGTGTCTCTCTGTGTGTCTCTGTGTGTGTCTATGTGTGTCTCTCTGTGTCTCTGCGTGTGTCTCTGTGTGTGTCTCTCTGTGTGTGTCTCTGTGTGTGTGTCTCTGTGTGTGTCTCTCTGTATGTCCCGGCCTTCGTAGGCACTGCTGCTGCTGCTGCTGCTACTCACAGCACTTGCCCCCACACAGTCCGCTGGAGGCTACCCGGGGGGCGTCTTTGTCTTTGTGCCGTAGGGAGCTCACCCCATCGTAGGCTGCTTGGTCGTGGTCCTCGCTGTCGCTCAGCCACTCATGGCCTTGGTGCGTCCACACCCGGGAGAGCCCAGGTACGGTGCCACAGCTCACCACTCACCGCTCGCCGCTCGCCACTCACCGCTCACCCACTCACCACTCACCGCTCACCCACTCACCACTCACCGCTCGCCGCTCGCCGCTCGCCGCTCACCCCGCCCATCGATTCGTGGTGGTGGCTGCGTCTGTGTTAGCTCTCCTGGTCACTTAGCGTCACAGGAGGTCGATTTTCAGTCGTCACTCAAACACTCACTCACTCATTCACTCACTTACTCATTCACTTACTCAAACACTCACTCACGCATTCACTCACTCATTCACTCAAACACTCACTCACTCATTCACCCACTCACTCATTCACTCACCCACTCACTCAAACACTCACTCACTCATTCACTCCCCCACTCATTCACTCACTCATTAACTCACTCACCCA